TGGCAGATTCAGAGCCTGCTTCCTGGTTCAGAGAAGGCAGGCTTCTATGTCCTCACGTGATGGAAGGGACTGGGGAGCTCTGTGGGGTCCCTTTTATGAAGGCGTTAATCCCATTACACATGCAGGGCCCTCCTGACCTAATCACCTCCCAAGGCCATCACCATCACCTTGGGGGTTAGGATTGCAACATACGAATCCTGGGGGGACACAGACATTCAGACGATACCATTACAGACGACTCCGTAGAGAGCGGCAAGTCCGGCTTCCCCTCATTGTACGGACAGGGAGCCTGAGACCCGAGGGTGGGGGGGAGGGAATTACCTAATGGCTCATGTGATCCATTAGTGACAGAGCTGTGGCCAGAATGGGCTCTCTTACTTCCGGTCCAGTGTTGTTCTCCAGGGAAGCGGAGAGGTTATAGCAGAGAGAATTAAAAGGAGGCTAGCGTATGCCTTCTCGTAAGAGCAGCCTACGCAAAGCGCTGGCCATCCACCAGGCTCTGTCTAAGCATGTTTCGTATATTAACTCATATCCTCACCAATCAACCTTATGAAGCAGGTGCTTTTATTATCCCCATTTAAAAGATGGGAAAATTAAGGTAGAGGAAAGTTTAAGAGGCTTGCCTGAGACCACACAGCTCCCTAGGAGCACCCTGGCAACAAGGCGTGTGTGTTGACTCACTACCCTATTTGCCTCTCATGGGCTAAGATGACTGAGGTCGACTCCCCTAGCAAGGGACTGAGCCCCTCTACACTTTGATTTCCTTATCAGTAAGCCGGGGAAACAACAGTGCCTTCTGCTCATTGTGACTCTGGCAATGTCTGCACAGTACCCAGCTCTCAGTACGTGTTAGCAAAACCAAGAAAGGGGAACAAGAACGGTGGGTTGGGGGGCGCCTGGGTGGCGCAGTCGGTTAAGCGTCCGACTTCAGCCAGGTCACGATCTCGCGGTCCGGGAGTTCGAGCCCCGCGTCGGGCTCTGGGCTGACGGCTCGGAGCCTGGAGCCTGTTTCCGATTCTGTGTCTCCCTCTCTCTCTGCCCCCTCCCCCGTTCATGCTCTGTCTCTCTCTCTCCCAAAAATAAATAAATCTTTAAAAAAAAAAAAAAAAAAGAACGGTGGGTTGGGCAGCGACACGGATAACAAACGTTCTAGACCATCAGTGCTAAGGTGCCAATTTTTCACGCACCAACATCTCGGAGATATCCTAAGTTCAATATGATGTCTGGCAACGGAGATAAAGCGCACGATGGAAATTCAGAGGCATCAAGAAACACAGGACAAAACGCGGCAAGACGGGAGGGTCTGTGGCCAGTCAGGGGGCATACGTGGGGCTTGCTTCGCCCCAGACATCCGACTCTTGATCAGAGAGCAATTCTGGACCCTGCCTCCCACCCTGGAGAGGGGCCTGCACTGAATGATGAGCATGCTCTCCGGCTGCACGGCTTGGAAGGAGAAAGATGAAGAGTTGCATTGTTTTAGAGGTGAGAGAATAAGGATGTCTTCCATTTGAGCAACCTTACCTCCCCTTGACTTCTTTCCTCTGTGCCCACCCACGGGGGGAGAGTTACCTTAACTCCTTTGTGCCTGCCAGGGCTGGGAATCCCACGATCCTTGCCTTCCCTCATTCTAGGGGGTATCGGGACTGCCCTGGAGTGCTGGTCCATTTGGTTGGTTTCTACCTGCTCTGAGGCCTGTGGTAGATGTCTTTTTTATGTGTGCTTTGTCTTGTTCAGGGTAGAAAGCTTGGAATTACCTATTTTATTTTATTTTATTTTATTTTATTTTAGAGAGAGAGCACACAAGCAGGGGAGGTGCAGAGAGAGGGGGGGGACAAAGGATCCCAAGCACGCTCCGCACTGACAGCAGAAAGCCCAACGTGGAGCTCGAACTCACAAACCACAAGATCACGACCTGAGCCGACGTCAGTGACCGAGTCACCCAGGCGCCCCTGGAATTACTCTTAACTCTTCTCTCACACGCCCCCTAAGCCAATCCACTGAGAAATCCTGTCGGCCCTACCTTCCCAGTATCTCCCAAATCCAGCCACCTGTTGCTACTTCCACTGCTGCTGCCCCGCTCGAAGCCGCTGAGCCACTGAGAGGCTCAAGCCTCTCCCTTGAATTTTCCTAAAAGTCTCCTTCCTGGTCTCCAGGCTTCTGTTCCTGCTCTGCCCCTTTACCCGATTCTCAACTCAGTAGCGGGTCCACTCGTGTCACAGCTCCCCATGCCGTTCCGAGGAAAAGCCAAAGCAGTGGTCCACCCTGCCTGGTTCCCCATCACCTTTCGGCCTTCTCCTACTGCTCCCTCTCCCTCTGTTCCGGTCCCATTGGCCTTCTTGTTATCCTGCCTCAGGGCCTTTGCACTGGCCAGAAAGCTCCACCCCCAGATAGCCACAGAGCTGACTCCCTCACCTCCTTTAAGTCTTTGCTCAACGGTCACCTTCTCAGTGAGGCCTACACTGACCACCTTAGCACTGCAACTCCTATTCCGCCCACTCACTCCTGTGATCCGGATCACCCTTAGCTGACGGCTTTTATTTCCATGGCACTTGAGACCTACTGTGATGTTCGGTGTCTGTATTCGCCAACACTTTTCCCACCACCACGACCGGCTGCAGAACTTGTGGGACCCAGTGCAAAATGGCAATGCAAGTCCCCCTTGGCAAACATGTCAAGAGGGTGACAGCAGGGCATTAAATCAAGTTCGAAGCCATTCTACGAGTAGGGCCTTTTGTGACTGCCCAGGTCACAGGCCCAGGAAGCCAGCTCTGCCTATCACGCAAGGGAGCTGGCGAGAGCCCTCAACCAGGGCAGAAGTGTATTTGGAGCTGGGCTGTAGGCAGATTATTCTGGCACATCTGGTGGGATAGGTTGGAGGGAGTCTAGGCAGGGAGACCAGTTAGGCAGCCTTGTGAGGAAGAGGAGGGGACAGGTGGGGTGGAGGTAGGGGGCTAAGGGGCGGAAGGCAGGGGGTGAGAGCCAGAGTGAGAAGCAGGGAGGAGGTAGAGTTTGCTTAGACAAGAGCATGACAGGAAAGACCCCCTGCGAGCTCACCTTCCTTTGCTCCTCCAACTCCTTCCTTCCCCCCACCCCCAGCCTCCGAACGCTCCGGGGCACAGAAATCAGCCTTGTGTCTCCCTTTGGCCACCAGGGGGCAGACCATTCTCGCGGATTTTCGGGATGAGTTTGGGGTGGGGGGAGTGGACCGTCCTCTGTCCTCACCTTTCCTCCTCATCTCCTTCTGTGTTCCTTCATCAACTTCTTCCTCGATGGCTGGGTGCCTGACTGGAGCTGGAGCGGGGCCACGGGGAGGTGTCCTGGAGTACTGTAGGTGGCACCTGTTGCCATTTAAGGAGTCCGTCCGTCCCGTCCTCCCATTGCGTCTGTCCCGCTGTCTATTTCTCTGGGTGACCTGGCCATGGGCTCCGCTCAAGATGGGGTAGATGGGAAGTGGGAGTCATCAAGTGTCAGAGGTCCATCCAGCACTTTTTCCCACAATTCCTGGGACCTCCCTGCTCCTGTACCTTTGGGGACTTGCTGCTTGAGCCTGGTCTCTGGCTCCGGAGGAGATTCTGGCTTCTGCCCACCTTAAGGGGCTGTTGAGCCCTGGGATGGAGGTGGGGCAAGTTCCAACACGTCCAGGGGACAGCTTGGAGCTGCGGGGGACAGCTTGGAGCCAGAGAAATCAAACTAGCCTACAGCCTCTACCTGGTGAGACAGTCTAGGAGGAAGTGAAGAGTGGACTCAGTTTGCCAAGCGGGCTTCCTGTTGCAGTTGAAGGCTCTTAAAAGATGAGAGAGACCTCACTTTATTGATGAAACTCAAGTCCAGGAAAGAAGGGACCTTCTCCAGGTGCCCATTCTTTGTGCCATCCTGAGGAATCCTCGTTGTCAGGATTTCTCTTTTCTGTGAGTTTTATTGTCTTTGAAGGGATAAATGAAAACTGAATTAAGATGAAAATGTCTCTTGGGGCTGCTGGGCGGCTCAGTCAGTTAAGCATCCGACTTCAGCTCAGGTCATGATCTCGCGGTCCGTGAGTTGGAGCCCGGAGTCTGGCTCTGTGCTGACAGCTCAGAGCCTGGAGCCTGCTTCCGATTCTGTGTCTCCCAATCTCTCTCTGCCCACCCCCTGCTCACGCACGCTCTCTCTCTCAAAAATAAATAAACATTAAAAAATTAAAAAAAGGGGGGGAGAATGCCTCTCCTGCCTTGCTTTACAGGGGTATTTTAAAAGGTAACTGGCGTGACTCAGTATCACCATAGTGCAATGTCATTTTGTGCTATTTTGAACAATTAAAAAAAAAGGTAAGTGGAATTCAAAGCTGTTATTTAGAATGTCATCACTGAAACAAAGGCATAAATTCTCTTAATATAAGGACGTCGAGGAGCCCAAACTCAGAGATGTTATGTAATCTTTCCAAGATCACATAGCATTTTCATTCCACAGAGCTGCGGCTGGAACACAGGGCTGGAGGGGGAACCCCTGTAGCCTCCCACAGCTGGGAGACAAGGAGGCCGACCGGGTGCCTGCCCCGGACCTTAAGAAACAGTGCGGATTAGATGTGGGGGTGTATGGATAAACAGAATCCAAGACAGACGATGGCAGGTGGAGAATGTTAAGTAGACAGGTAAAAGACGCTGCCTTTGACAAGTGACACACATGTTGATAGGTTGGATGATAAAAACGAGATGGATTTTACGAGCGGACTGATGAGCGGACACGCAAACGGGGAAGTTGTTTTAGAACCAAAGGATGCCAATCGTTGGGACGGCTAACAGCCTTATTTTCTATTTGGTCAAACAATAAACATGCACAGGTGATCCACGCTCCCCGTTCAGGTTTGAAAATACCCGGAAACTGACGGAAAGAAACGAACAGTCCGACCGGGTACCACCCCAGGAACGACTCGGGGCTCGCCGGGTCTCGGGTGTTGCCGGAAATGGCCGACGACCGCGGTCGGCTGCGGGGCGGGACGGGGGCGTGGCCGGTTCACTGCACGCGGAGCGGCTTCGGGTGTTTCCGGAAACCGCAGCGAGCCTGCTTGAAGTGGGCGGGGAAAGGCCTATGGGCGTGGCTGGAGTTCCCCGAGTGGCTTCGTAGATTTCCGTAAACAGAGCCGAAGCTTCGTCTTCGGAATCGAGGCGGCGCGCGCGTCCCCAGGAGTAATCTTCTTCGGGTGTTTCCGGAATTCACCCGTAGTCCGAGGCCAGGAGGAGGAGGCGCGCCCCCCGCCCGTACCTCGCCGCTTCGGATGTTTCCGGCTGCTGCCGGCGGAAAGAGCCGAGGGCCGGCGGTGGTGGCGGCCATGTTGGGAGCAGCAGGTCCGGCGGCGGCTGCCTGTGTGCCGGGCGCGGAGCAGTGCCGCTGAGGGCAGGGGAGGAGCGAGGCAGGCGGCCGGCTGCGGCGGCAGAGAGTAGGCGGAGCGGCGCGGCCCGGCCGAAAGGCGGCACAGCCCAGCCGGGGGTCGGGGGGGTGCGGTCCGGAGCCGCTCGGAGCCGGCGCGGCCTAGCCCGAGCGGCGCATCCCCGGGCTGGCGTGAGCGGCTGCCCGGCCTCCCCGCACCCCCGGCCGGAGCCCATGCGGCGGGTGCCCCTGCTGTGAGAAGCCCCGCCCGGCCGGGCTCCGCGCCTTCCCTTCCCTCCCTTCCTCCAAGCTTCTCGGTTCCCTCCCCTGAGATACCGGCGCCATGTCCAGCGCCCGGACCCCCCTACCCACGCTGAACGAGAGGGACACGGAGCAGGTAAGGAGCCCCGAGGGCTCCCCGAATTCTCTGGCTGGGCCCCTGCACCTTGCAGAGCCTCCTCCCTCCTCTGCTCTCCTCGTGCCCCTGCTGCCACCCTGCAAGCCTCGGCTGCCCTGTCATCTGGCTCTCGGCCTCGCACATCCCCCTCTCAGTCCCGTCCTGGGACCCACCTCGTCCCGACTCCAAGCTGCACACTTGCTGACCCCCGTCTCCCCTCACCGCCCTCCTGCGCTCTTCCGTATTATCTCCCTAGCTTCCCCTCCTCTTCCCTTTTTCTCTCAGGGGCCTTTTCTGGTCTTCCTCCACCCACGCTTAAAGCCGCCACCCTCCTGCTCCTCGAACAGCACCCCGCGATTTGCCCCAGATCGTTGTCCCCCTCTTCCTCCCATCTCTCCAGCCTCGCTTCTGCTCCTCCCGCACCGGTTCTCCCAGTCCCTGGTTATCACCCTCAGGGTCCTTGCCCCGGAGTGTGTTCTCGATCCCTCTCCTCTTCCAGTTCCCCCGCTTCCCCCCCCCCTTGCTTTTTTTCCCCCCTCTTCCTTCTCCAAATTGTGCTCTCCCTCATGCTTGCAACCCACCAGCTCCACCCTCATCACCTTTCCAAATGGTTCGCCTACTCTTTGCTCATCACTTTCCCTTCTTTTCTCCAGGAGCTCCCTGGTGCCTCGCGCTGGCATTTGTTGCTTCCGTGTTTCCCAGACTGCTGTCATGCGCATAGTTTTCCCACAGGTTGTCTTTGGGGTTCCAGTCTGAAGGGTTCCCTTCAGAGTCTGGATCCCTCGCGTTCTGCCCACCCCCACCCCCCTCCCACCCCCCAGGGGTTTGGCTGAAGTCTCTCCGCCTCCTGTTTCTCCCTGAGTGCTTTACCAGCCTGCTCCCTGGACTTGTCCTTTGGAGGGAGAACATTCCTCCAGCCCCACTTTATGGGGACAACCTGTTGCTGAGTCCTCTCCCCGGCCACGCTGCATTACCATCCTTGCCCTTCTGTCTTTTCACACCGCAACACGAGCCATGATGCCTTCTTGTGTCTTCACTCCTGGCTCTGTCACTTTTCATAGTTTCTTCCTCCTTGTTTGGTACCTTCCGGTTTCTCTGCCCTCACCCGGTCTTCCTCACTCTACCTGCCTCCGTGAGGCTTGCCTTCGTCTCCTCATTAGGCTCTTGCCTCCTTCACATCTGTTTGCCCCACCGAGGCCCCTGTCCTTTCCCTCCCGATGGGCTAGTCTTTGTAACTCGCCGTCCGGGCATTCAGCATGCTAGTTTCTTGAGCTATACGCCACCTCCTCCCCCCTCCTCGTCCTGGCAATCACTGCTATCATCTGTCACCCAAGCTTTAGCGTTTTCTGTGTCACCCTACCTGTGAGCTGAGAGGCGTCCGCTTTCCACCCCTCCCCTTTCTGTCACCATGTCCGGCGTCCCTTGCTGACTGCTGGCTGCTGTGTGGAGAGTCCCCTGCCTGGCACACCCTCGTTGGCGGAGAAGTTTACTAGGCCAGGAAAACTCGAGTTGAAAAAGGAGCTCTTCTCCCCTGGGGCTGCAGCGCTTTTTTTTTTTTTTTTTTTTTTTTGCATTTTCCTTTTCCTTTTCCGTTATTAGACCCTTTATGTTTTCCTGTCGCGCCCTTCTTTCTCCGCAGCCCGATAGAACCGTCGTTATGTTCTCTCGCGTGTTCACATCCTTCCCTGAAAAATCTTCCCTCGTTTCATTGTCCTACGTTTTTCTCTTGTGTCACCTCCCCCCACCCCCCACCTTGCTCTCTGTCACCTGGGCAGTCAGGAGCTCCACGAGCAACTGTGGCCCCGAGTTTTTCTCTGTGCTGGTTGACCCTTTCGTTACTGACGGATTGATTGCTTCTGGGGGTGAAATGAGTTGAGGGGGAGGGATGGTGAATTTCTGTTTCATCACTGGGTTTTGCAACTGGCTCTGCATGGGACTGAGGTCTTTGGAAACCAGAGCATGGTCTGTATCTCAGGGTCTTGCCCTCACTTGCCGGCTGTTTTCTCTCCTTGCCGGGAACCTCTTTTTCTAGGCTCTCTTGAGGTTCCCCATTCCATTCCTTTTCCTGTCGCACCCTCTGTGTTAGCAGGTAAACCCTGCTCACCAGAGAACTTTCCCAGACTGTTGATTATGAGCTGGTAGGAGGAGGCCAAGTGACTGACTGGCACCCTCAGGCATGTGGGGAGTGGTTGTGGAGTGCCTACTCTCTCCGCGAGGCTGTGGGGGGCATTGTGTTCAGCAAAGTAGAGTAACAGACTGCCTCAATGTGGTTTCTTTGTGCTGTTTACCAAATGTAAATGTATTCCCGCCGTGGTCTCTTTTTTTCTTGTGATGTGTGCATTGATTTCCTCTCTTCCCTACATGCCTCGAATACTGCTGAGCGCATAGTAGGAAGTCGGTGCACACCCGCTGATTCGGTGAGAGCTGATCGGGTGAGCCGGTCGGAACGGAAGCTGCCCCTTCGCTAACTTCGTCTAGAGCCACGGCTGCATACTTTGTCGTCCTGTTCCAAATTATGAATTACTCATCCTGTTTGCACTCTTTGTGGACTTAGGCTCCCCTGAGCCACTTCATCGCTCCTGCTGCCCGTCCTCAAGGTAGCCAGTCATACTATCTGCTCGATATTAAGTCTCGTCCCGGTGACAGCGCAGCCTTTGAAAAAGCTTGGATATACCAGCTACCGGCAGATGCCCGTATTTTTCAAACCAAGAGAAAAGACACGTAGCAGCCCCTCGCGTCACGAGGCCAGGGATGCCAGAAGCATTGGCCTCCTTTAGAATAGCTCGTTGCCACCAGGTAAGAGCAAGGACGCTGTCAGTCCTGTCGCTGTTCTAGTTGAAGTAGTCACAGAAGTTCAGTCGTTGCGGTAAATCCTAACGTTAGGAAATAAAAAGCAAGGGGTTTGGTTGGGCTGATCCCCTCCCCGCAAAGATTCTCTATCACTGTATTTAGGTTTAAATTATTTAAGCTGGTTTCCCCAGGAAATGGGTAAACTCTGCTGGTTGTCTTCAAGCTCCAATCTCTTTTTTAGCTCTTCCTCTCCCCCTTTCTTTAAAACATGTGGCTGATGAGAAGCTGTTTCCAGGAGCTCTTTGATCACATCTGAATTAAACACGCATAACACACACACACACACACAGAAAATGTTGAAGCATAAAAATAAACCTTGTACTGCAGGAAGATTGCCTGTTTGCTGTCGATTCTGCTCCTAGCACTGGAAGTGGGAGCTAAAAGAAAGTCAAGCCCCCCTCTTTAAGATGATTTTTGTGACACCAATGTCACAAAATGTGCTTTCGAATGTGGTTTCGAATGTGCTTTTTTCCCAGCTCTAGATGCTTCTTTCTTTTGCAGGAGGGTTGTGACCTGGGGCTGGTAGTTTTGGGGATTCTCAGTCTGTGAGCTGAGCTTTCTGCCCAGTTCTCCGAATGGCTCTGCTGGCCTGGAGGCTTGGCTGTGGTGACAGCAATCAGCATGTAGGATGCCTGTCCTCCAGCCAGCGGCGGCGGCAGCAATAGGCTAGGCAGGTGCGGAGAGGGGTCCAACTTCCCAGAGTTCACCTGCCGCTACCACGTGGAACACCTGGGAGGGGGGCTGCGTGACTTCAGAGCCGCCCCGCCTCTGGGCCTCAGGAACCACGAGCGAGAGGGCTTCCGGGGCTTCCGAGGGAAAAAATGGAGGCTTTCGGAGGCTTTCACTACCGGCCTCGCTTCTGCTGCAGTGCGCGAGGGAGGGGGGTCGCTCTCGTTCTTCTCCGGTGCGAGTAGCATTGTTTATTCTCTTGGGTGGTTCTAGGAAGAGGAGTGTGGAAGTCTGGATGAAGTGAGCAAAGCTGACTTACGGAATCCTGTAAAGAACAACCGAGCCGCTCCAGACACATCTCCCTTGGATGCCAGGGTTGATTCTGGCTGAACGTTGCCAACGCTGAATAATTTGGTTTTAGTGTCTCCTCTGGTAGAGAGCTCGGGTGGCTCTCATTTCACTCCATGCCTGTGAGCCGGGCGGTGCTGTGCTCTGCGTACGGACTCTGACTTCTGCCCTTTGACTCTGGCCAAGGGCTCCTTAGTGGTGCTGCCTTCTGATCAGGGATGTGGGTGGACGTCAGAGCATACATTCTCGCTTCCTGCGTGGCCCTAGAAATTAAGAGTGAGGCCTCGTTAGAGCGAGGGCTGTGGGAGTCTAGAGATCACAGAGTCGCTCGCCATACCGTGATCTTTGAACCCAGTGAAGGTAACCACTTAGTAAATTGTGATAATTTCTCTCTAATGTGTGGGCTTTGGGAAGTAGCTAAACAGATGGATTCAAGACAGTCGTTGAAACTTGGTCTGCTTTAGATTAAAATCAAGTTCACACAGGGATGACTGCATCTTTCAGATGGGTGACCAAAGACTGGGCCTGAGATTTCTTTTCATGGTCAGTGTCTTAACTGATGCCTGTGAGGTAGGAAAAAATTGAGAATTTGTTTGCCTGAGAGGTTTGCATCGTTAGGTCTCACGGGAGTCAAAAACTTCTCAGACCAGACCGTCTCCCCTTTGGACAGAACAGCCCAGCTCTCGGTGGGCATTTGACCAGGACTAACCCGTGCCTTCGTGAACTCTTTCCCATTGCGCACTTAGCCACCTGGCTGGCACTTCTCTCCTCCCAGGAGCTTCCGTGACTTTCCTACATATGTATTATGTCGACGGGAATGAATATTTTATGCCAAGAGTGCAGCCAAGCCTCAGACTCTGTGGCCCATTATCGACGAGTGGGGTGGGGGCTGGGCGCCACCTTTGGCCCCATGATAGCTCTGCTAAATGGGCTCCCCCCCACCACAGCAGCACTTTGAAGCCCATTAATGGATTGGGATGAAGTAACCTCCGCAGATGGGAAGGACGAGGAGGGTGGTTGTCCTTCCTTCCCCAAGACTGCCTGGTGAGGCTTTCCTGCAGTCACCGGGGCCAGCCCCAGCTCCGTCTGCTTAGTTAAGCTGTGGACTGTGGCTGCTAGGCTTTTGCTATGAG